ACGACATTTACATAGGCCTATTATTTCCTATGAAATCTGTCAACACTGTAAAACGTATATAGAATATGTATAGAATTTTGATTGAAATCCCCAATTACGATGTAAAAAAATTAATTCTATAAAAATCCATTTATAACTTTATAGAAATTGTATTATACATTCTATACATTTATCTGTTTAATTTCTAACGACTTTCTGAACAATTTATCCAATATCGTTCAAAATTAAATAGAAAATATAACGAGAATTCTATAGGATTTTTCTAAAAAAATATAAAATTCTATAGACACTATATTTAAAAAATCGAAAGAGAAAATATATAATTAAATCTATAATTTGTATAGAATTTAAATAGAATTCTTTCTATAACATATTTTTCTAAGCAATTCTGTATATAATTGTATTTCTATAGAACTATCTCTATAGAGAATGGATGGGGTCTTATATAGAGAAAAACAATCTTGGATCAATTTCCTATAGAATTATATTTCTATAGAACTATCTCTATAGAAAATGGATGGGTCTTATATAGAGAAAAAATCTTGGATCAATTTTCTATAGAATTATATTTCTATAGAATTATCTCTATAGAGAACAGATGGGTCTTATATAGAGAAAAAAATCTTGGATAAATTTTCTATAGAACTATCTCAAAAGAGAATGGATAGGTTTTATATAGAGAGATAATTCTTTGATCCAATTTTCTATAGAAGTCTATAAAAACTCATAAATGTCTATAGACTTTCTATAGAATTCTATAAAACATTTTACTATGGGACATTTTACTGGCAGTTCGTTGGTGGAGTTATTCGAAGCTTTGGGTTAATGGGAGACCTTGTCTCTAGCAGCGCTCAACTGTTAATTCGCCCACATGTTTTGTAAAGCTATTCATCGATTTTACCTTGAATTTCTATGTATATGTTGACATAAAGTTACATTTTTTTGGTTTTAGCTAAGTAGCCTGTACGACCGTTGTCACGACTATTTCTTTTCACTTTTTTTGGACCATTATTTATTACTTATGTATTAAACGAGGGTGTAGCAACCTGTTCTGTTTTGTGAAAGAAAACCAAAAAGTAACATCCTTTTAAGACATCTAAACAGCTTGTCGTACCATTGCTAACATTTATAAAAGTAGGCATGTAAAATTAAGGGCATTTTAAAAGTGGTACTGAATGTTAATTCTATTCTTTAGTTGATTATTTTAATGTACGGGGTGTATTCCACAGATTTGCATACTACATACTGAAGTCTAGGTTATATTACAATGTTAAGTGAATCTGCAGGTTGGTCATATTTACAATTATTTCCTCTCAATGTGTTGTGTGATAATCAATTTTTTGTTCTCATTATTTATTTGTTCTTTCAATGCAACAACATATAAATTAAATAAAAATGAACAAATCAATTCTCGCTTATAGAAAAAAAAAACAACAGTGATTAAAAATCGGTTGATTTAAAATAAAGGAATTTATTATTATTAAATAAAAAATATGTGAGGGGTGATTTTTTAACATAATAATAATAAGTCATACTACTGTTTTATTTATTTATTGTTTTTTTGGAATTAACATCATTCATTATAGAGGATTTTGTTTCATTATTATTGTTATTATTATCATTATAGTAGTATAATAATTTCTATAATTGAATCGACCGAATATTACTATCCTCTATAATTTAATTTTTTTAATATTTTATAATGGAGTCATTTAGTCAGGATACACAGTTGTCTTGGCACTCTTGAAAAGCCTATGTTTTCTCTTAGACTCTTTATGATGTCAATATTGATCCATGGTTGTTAGGTTTATTTCTTGCCTTACGTTTAGGAACAACCTTCATTATAGCATCCAAAAATGTGATCTTAAAAAGTCCTCATGTAGAACTAATATCGTCGTTGGTAAAGCAATCGTTCCATGATATTTTTTTGAAAATAAATTAACAAATTCTACAACATCGACTTTGGAATACTGAAAAAAAGTATCCGGGTGGAAGTGAACCTTTGTCAATACTCATCTAAATAACATGGCTACCATCATGGTCCATGCCAATGATCACAAGGTGAAAATTAACTTTCTGTACAATGTTAGACAAATTTACATACACATGATCAATGTGTGTACCAATCGATTGAAGATCTGTATGCCTTTCTGCTATAAAAGAAACAGCCTGTTGCACAGCTGCTCGGGTAATATGTGTGGTTGTGCCTTTTTGTCATGTTATTTGCTATAAATAAACATAGTATTAGTGCCTATTTGTTATGGTTATTTGCTGGCTGGATGAACATTGAAGTTGTGCCTTTTGCCGTAGTTATTTGCTAATGAAGCGTTTGAATTATCCCCCTTCGCCATTGTAATTTCTTGTTAACCAGGGAACAGTTAATCTTTCCGACGGATTTATTTCCATGTATTAAACTGTATTCAATTCAAGGTAAGGCAAGATTTTATAGCATAAATTAAACAGACTTATCATGTTTGACTAGCATACTTACTTATGAAAATCAACAAAATTTCAAATAACTCAATCACTATAGTTGAAAAAATTTCTTTCTTTTTGATTTCTTTTAGGCCTATTTCATTTTCAAAAAAATATTGAAACCAAATTTCGTCGACGCAAATAATATTAATAATAATAATAATAATAATAATAATAATAATATTGTTATTATGATTATTACAATTATTATTGTTATTATTATTATTATAATAATTATTATTATTATATTATTTAACATTACAGTATATTAATCAACATCACAAAAAAGCAATCCACAAAAAACTTTCAATAACAGAGTAGTAATAAAAAAAAAAAATCTCATTTAGTAAATTTGTTGTCTTGAATCGTGTTTTAAATGTGCAATCCAAAATTGTATTTAATATGTTAAAGTTTGTCGTTGATGTCTTGGGTAGTAGAAAATTAATTTAGTACTTGATGTATTTGGAATCACCGTTTTGACAGTGGCACATACCAAAGGCCCAGACAGCATTTTTTTTCTTTTTACTATAATTTATAAATAAAGATAGGCCTATATAAATGGATGCTGTCTCAGTTGAATGCTTGTTTTTGTATGAATGGTTGGAAGGAAGATAAGCGCATACTACCGACATATTTCACAATACCAACTCGCATCCGGATTTATTCGAATAACTTTCCTTCCGCTTTGAGGGAAACAGCCTGTTGCACAGCTGTGAGTACACAAATGGTTAGAATAATACAAACTAATAAAACTTAACAAGCAACATTCATTGTAACCAGAAAAACAACTTGCTTCTAATTGGTTGGTTGTTGAAATATCGTTAAACTTCAGCGTATCACAGCCTATCTTTGCATTTGTCCTTCTGCCTTGGAAATTTTCTGAAATTCCCTTTGTCCATGCCCATACCTAGCCCGGGGGACACATTTTTACTTATTTTTTGGCACCATGTGTAACACGATGCACTGACCCTACTAGGATTTATATCTCAATTTCACTAAAAATGTCAGTTATGTTCTTTTGGACCCATCTACTTACTGAGAAGTTATACAAATCTAGGAATAAACGCACGACTTAACCTTTGGATCTATGACTTCCTATATGAAAGGACACAGATTGTTAAATTTAGGGGTAGTGTATCTAATTTGTTGAAGACTTGTAATACGGGGGCACCACAAGGGTGTGTTCTGTCGTCATTGCTCGTTATGCTCATTTGATTTTTGCAGTAATATTGATCCAAGTAAAGCATTTAATATTAAGTTTGCTGACGGCACTTGTATAATTGTATAATATCAAAAACTGACATATCCTTGTTTAATGACTATGTTGAATCTTTTATTGTATGGTGTAAGGAGAATTTTTTCGTAATAAATGCCAAGAAGACTAAGGAAGTTATTGTCGACTTCAGAAGGAAAAATAAAACTATTCACGGAAATTCAGTCAATCCTTTCTTATTGTATTATTATTTGGTTTTCTCATCACCATAGACAGTAAAGATAAACTATTGAGAATTGTTAACATGGCTGGCAGAGTGATTGGAGCAGATGTGAAGCCTTTAGAAAATATCTTTAAAATGTTATACTTAAGAAATTTAATTTAATTATGCAAGACTCATCCCATTCATTATACTCAGACATTATTGTAAATAGATCGGGAAGGGTTAGACTTAAACAACACAAAATATCGACAAACCGTTTCAGACATTCAGCATTGTACATTGCTTGTAATTTAAATTAAAACTTAAGAAGATAACAACACAAACTCCAATTTTTATAATACTAGAGAATTTTTAATTGATATTTATCACATTTTATAAACGATTCTATGTTATCTACAAAAATATCTTTTGACAATAAAGTTGAATTGTATCTTGTATCTAGTATGGGGGTGGGGAAGTATTATCTATTATAATAGTTAAGTTTACAATTTTAGATAGTGAACCTAACTATCCTCCTGAGTACTGAGCTAAAAGTTCATTTAACTAGAAAACTAGTAAATATTTAAATAGTTAAATTAACAAATTTATTTAATTAAAATAACTTGATAGATTAGTTAATTAAAAGTTATACTAACTAATTTAGATAGTTACAATCACTAAGCCTTGTACTATGCACATAGTAAAGTTTACCAAGTCCAACTATAAGTTTACTTTCAGCTCAGTACTCAGGAGGACAGTTATTTTAACTAAGTAAAAATAGTTCAAATCACTACGCAACGTAAAGCATCCTTATTGAATTTTCATATCTGGTCAGTCGGTTAAGTCAATTTTCATCTGTTTTCGTTTCATTTATGTACTCAACAACAAATATTCAGACAAGTTATTTCATTCATTTTATTTTAATAAAGCACAGTATTTGTATAATATAAATGATTATGCCTCCCACACAATTTCTTTTATCCTTGTTATTTTTGTTAATTGCTATCTATGTATAATATTTTTGTAATTGTGTGGAACAATAAAATTGAAATTATTAGGTTTATTACAATATTTTTATACATTTAATATTTTTTTGTCTGGAAAAATGACTTTTTAACTTTTAAAACATTTTATAAAATTATTTTATTTAATTTTAATATAAAGTCAAATAAAAGAAAAATTTTAGTTTAATTTCTAAAAATGGAAAGAATATATTGGAAGATGCTCATCCAAATTAACGAAAATGTTTCTGCCAGTAATTTAGTAATGACTATAAAATATGTTAGTAATACTATTACTCAAAATCTCAAAAGAAATACTGCAGCATTTTTTTCAAACTGTACAAGCCTCTTGAAAACAAAATTATGCACTGTTTGTAGTAGCAATAAGGTTCAAAAGCTTCCTTTAATTTGGCTGATCAACATGTAAAACAGTCTCTGGTTAATCAGTTTGGTATACCGAGTTAAACGTGTACACAGTATACACCATAGTGAATATTGCTTCTATCAAGAATTCGACACAGCACACTGTAACACCTCAAGTCGAATCCCTCTCTGTCAACTGAAAATGGCCTTTGTTTCTTTGAAAATTTAATAAAGAGATACATATATTTTATTAATTTATATCTATAAGTGGTCAATTAGGAATTAGGTTTGCATATTAGGGCTTACATCAGCAAAGGAACAAAATATTGTATTCACAATTATATTACATTCTTAAACACATACATTTTATATGAATAAATATAACTAACAATTAAATCATAGCATTTTACAAATGACACAGTAAATTTAAAAGTATATCTACTTTAAGAATAACTCTATGTTAAAGTTGTAATAGATGATGACTTAAAGCAGAACAATATCAAAAGATCGAAGTGTAAGAACACTCTCAACAAAAATTTAAATTTGAAAATTGCTGAGTCATGCAAATTATACCAGTCAAATAGTATTTTTTCTATTAAGGGAGCTATGTTAGCATATTTTTGTGCAACTTACAAGTTATTTGTGGGTCTGTTCAGATTTCTTCAAACAACCTGCTAAAGTTTTCTTGACCAGGAGAAACTATTCATACTTTGTGAGCTTAACACTTTTCTCACTAGATTTTTAAGTTGTTCAGGAACATTTCTTCTACCTTATTTGGATCTTCAATTTGTGGTCCTAGTCTCTCCAACTCGTCGAACAACTGTTCAAAAAAATACAAAAAATATTATTAATTTTTATAATAGTTATGACCCAATAAAATTGCTAAAACAGAAAAACAGATTTTTAAACTAATTTCACTAAATATATCACATTTAATAGCCCACCACTATTTATAATTGTTTCGTGTTAGATGAATAAAGATTATTAAAATTGAAGGTATTATTTTTTTAATGTGATAACATGAAATTAAATCACTATTATCAACACACAAAACACACAAAAACATATTGTCTGCTACAATTACCTACAGTACTAAATGAATAAAATCATTGATATGAAATGAAAGACCAAACCAGGTATGTAAAGTCCAAGGCCCAAAATAATAAACAGACCAATGAGAGGTAGAGAACGCTATGCAGCACTGTAGCAAGGAAGGTTATTGTCAAATAAATCACTTAGGACATCAATCATGGTGGTAACATTGGCACTAAGTAGGAGGGGCCAGTCAGACTCAACAATACCTATAGTGTATTGAATGTATGGTTGAAAAAAAAAGTGTTTGACTATGCTATAACCAGGTCCACTAGACATAACCTAGGTCCATTTTTTGGGGTTGAACATTTAAAATAATTAATGCCTAAGCCAAGTATGTAGTAATAATAACTGCACTAGACTAATTAGGTCTAAATCCCGCCGGGAGAAATGGTGAAATGGTGTATCGAGTCCGATTTATTCTTGTTTGTAATTGTATGTATGCTAGGTAGCCAGATTAAAACTCATTGTTCATTTGAGAATGTTTCTTTATAAACATCTACAAATTTAAATGATAAAAAATACGAGTAAATATTGTGAAAATATTCAGCCTTGACACGAGCTATCCTAGGCCAGTAGTAGTAGTGTAGGTCAAGGGCCTGTCACTGGGGCCAAACCTCTAAAGAAAGTGCTAGTAGTGCTAGCTCAAGAAGTGCTATCATGATGGATTAAAATTCCATTTTGCTATCTAAATACGATTATAGTAATAAGATCTAAACTAGCCTAGCATAAAGTAAAGGTTGTATTATTATACAAATAGAAATACACACATTTTCAACCTATTCGATTCGACACACCTTACCACCGCGGGTCAAACTCGCTAGTCATAAGGTTTGCTATTCATAAGGTTCATTATTCATAAGGTTCGTTATTCATAACATTAGCTTACCCTATACCATTAGGGACGCTATTCATAATGAAGAAAAGGGTTCGCTATTCATAAAAAATAATGACCGCTATTCATAAGGTTCGCTAGTCTTAATCAAGAAAAGGGATCACTAGTTATAATTTAATAAAAGGACCACAAAGAGTAAGGTTCGCTAGTCATAATCAAGAAAAATGGTCCGCTACTCATAATATAATTAAAGGGCCATTAATTATAGGGTTTGCTAGTCATAATATCAGAAGAGGTTCGCTATTCATAATTCATAATTTATTTATAATGAAAAAAGAGGTTCGCTATTCATAAGAAAAGAGGTTCGCTATTTATAATTTAAAAAAAGAGGTTCGCTATTTATAATAAAAAAGGGGTTCGCTATTCATAATTAAAAAAAAGGGGATCGCTATTCATAATAAAAAAAAAAGATTCACTAGTTTGTAAATCAATAAAAACAAAAGGTTTTAGTCATAATAAAAATTATAGTTTGAAAAAAGAAATGGTTTACTAGTCATTAAAAAAGAGTGTAAAGCTATTTTATAATCGTGCATTTCGTCAATTTCAAATTCCACATTACCCCTCTCCTGTGAACTCCGCCTGGCACAACCATCACCTTTATTATTGTCATTCCCTGAGTTCTTTTGATTTTATCAGTATTCCTTTTTAATGATTATATCAACAAAGAGCTATTGCACTTCTCGTGAAATGAAAACTACAGCGCTTGCAAGAACTAACAAAATATACGTTATTGTAAAAAAAAAACAACTTGAATATCTTAAGCAAGTGAATACAAAAATCGCAGAACAAACAGTATAAACAAAATCAATCATTTATAAGAGACAGCATATATACATTGTACTAGCATACATGCCAGGATGACAAGTAGCTTACATTATTCAAATATTGATCCGAAATCCTAGGAATATGTTAACATACCTACATACATCCACACTCACGTTAATATTCACATACACCTACCTATTATGTGCAATACCCAAACTTACACAATAAGCATATTGGGGCCTATAAATGAAGAAGTTATCTATATACACATAACTCCATAATGCCATTTTAATTTTTTTTTTGTTAACATTATAAAATTTATTTAACAACTTTCTGTTATAATACTCTATTGAAAATAAGGTGGCAGTGGAATTAAGCTTCCATTTACCAATGTGCTTTAACGTTCCAGCCTTGTATATACCTGTCTCTTATACACATCTAGATGTGTATAAGAGACAGATATATATTAGTCGTTGAAACAAAAAAAAATATGACAAAAAGGCATGTAGACTGAACACTGTATATATTTTCGAAAGACATTTTCGGTCAGTCCTCTGGCCTTCATCAGCTTTACTGAATGCACAGGATTGGCTGTTGCAAGTTTACTGTACAATATAAACAATACAATAGTGATGTAGACGATTATAAGCCAATTATCTAATAGTTTATGTTGTAATATACAAAGTGAAATCCGACAGAGATCAAAGCGGTCAAGTATTGACTTATTATGTCGATATTTCGACATACGTAAGTCGTAATTACGACTTATTATGTCGAAATTTCGACATACGTATGTCGTAATTACGACTTATATACGACATACGTATGTCGTAATTACGACTTATTATACGACATACGTATGTCGTAATTACGACTTATTATACGACATAGGTCGTAATTACGACTTACGTATTTCGAAATTTCGACATAATAAGTCGTAGTTACGACATACGTATGTCGAAATTTCGACATAATAAGTCGTAATTACGACATAAAAATATATATTCCAGTGGCCCTAATAGGCTTTCGTAGTCTACAACGCGTGGTTGGGGATTAATAATCTCTTCGCGTTGCCGACGAGTGGTTCAAGATACTGATCAAAAACGTTGGACGATTCCATTTCGCGAATTAGGGTTCGTTTTCCGACGTTTTTGTTCTACTTAATTGTTTGCGTCGGTTTATCTCGCGATTTTGATGTACTGTAATTTATCGACAAGTCTCTTTTCTATGTTTTGTCATAAGTTTCATTCATTATTATGAATTAATTTTAATACTATATCCTGTCATTTGTTATTGAGCTATTCTGTAAAATTTAAAACCGAAATGTCGAATACCGAGACTCGAAACGCACTGAAATTTCCTATACACTTTTATACTGTATTATAATCAGTAACGTTCGTTTTCCGACGTTTTTGTTCTACTTAATTGTTTGCGTCGGTTTATCTCGCGATTTTGATGTACTGTAATTTATCGACAAGTCTCTTTTCTATGTTTTGTCATAAGTTTCATTCATTATTATGAATTAATTTTAATACTATATCCTGTCATTTGTTATTGAGCTATTCTGTAAAATTTAAAACCGAAATGTCGAATACCGAGACTCGAAACCCACTGAAATTTCCTATACACTTTTATACTGTATTATAATCAGGCCAAACTCGTGTTTTTCCCATGAATATTGACGGGATAAACGCAATTTAATGCCAGTATATTGCTTTTTCTAGAACTATTCATAGGAACATTCCCACGCTCTGCTGCTATGAAAATACAGACTGAATGAAAGTGTACGTGTCATTGATCTTGCTGCTGGCCGAGTTATGCATAGCTCAAACCCTTTGTACGCCGCCCAGTGTTATAACCAGGCCAAACTCATGTTGTTGCCATGAGCATGGAGGAATAAATTCGTAGTGACAGGGTAAACGCAATTTAATGCCAGTACCTGCTTCTTCTAGAACTATTTATAGGAACAGTCTCACGGTTCTGCTGCTACTGTATGGAAATTGACTATTAAGGGTCATTGATCTTGCTGCGGGCCGAGTTATGCATAGCCGTACAGGCCCGTAGCCAGGTCATTTCAAGGGGGGTTCTCTGGGCGTGGGGTCCAGGGGACTGCCTAAGGGCCCCAGTTTGGTTGGGGCGAAGCCTCCGAAGCCAGAGCAGTTTTTGTGTTTAATGGGTCTATATAATGTTATAAAAGCAGTTATGTTTTGAAAAAGATCTATGTAATAAAAGATGGTAATATAATAAAATTGGAAAATATTGTCTGAGAATTGGCATGTTTTAATCACACCGAAAGACAAAAAAAATACCTCATCGCATAATCAATATCAATATACTCAACACATTTATTATAAAACAAAACAAGCTATTATAGGCATAAAGTAATTTACAAAGAATTATGTACTTATTATTTATAATACATAAAACATTTAAGAAGTTTTGTCTTGTTTTAACTTAAATAATGAATCTTCCAGTAGGCCTATATAAACAAATAGAGTTGCCTGTTACAAAATAAAGTAGGAGCTGAACTTCTTCTTGACTCTCATCTTGTACACTGAAAATAATATTACTATTTTTACTACGTGGCTAAAAAACCACAAATATTGTCATTACTACAACTGACAGGGACATCGTTAAATTAAGTCAGAGCCCAAAATATAGCATCATATTGAATACGTCATCTGACATCATGGGAACCTAAACTTTAATTACAATTATTTGTTTACTAGGCCTAATTCGAAATTATTGTTTTAAGACTTTAACCTAATACAAACTGATTAATAATAGCTGAGATTTGATGCTCATTTCAGAATTAATAATCGTTTTTAGTATCTTACTGAATATGTATTGTCTACCAAATGAAATATGAATTATATATGAATCTTTAGAAATACAATTTCTACAATATTAATCTTGTTTTTATATAGATAAATGTTCGATAAATACTATCTTTCATAAAACAAACGAAATTCAGCGCGTCTATTTTCATTCCAATCAATGGTGTTTGTAAACATGTGCACTGACGTCATCGTCGAATCCCAGGACTTTCGACGGCAAAGTTGGCCTGCCTGCCTAGGTATCAGGCCAACCAATAATAATTAACAAAATGTATTATTTTTATTAAATATAGGCTTATGGCGCATCCTGTACATGCACTTCAACTTTTACAACAAAAGCATAGGCCTAGTAGTATGTCCTACTGTACTTAAGCCTAGGCCTACAATAGTTTGATGTCGTCGGGGTATAATTCTGTCTCTAAACTAAATGCAGCGTGACCACTAGGGAAAATCAAAATTCAAGATTGGGTCTAAAAAATCCCAAGATTGCTTTTAAAAACCCAAGATTCGCAAAATATTAGTATATATACATAAACTTCATTTTAAAGCGTTTTCAATGAATTATATACTGTACAGTATTTTGTACTGTATAAGCCTTAACGAAGCGTCTGGATTTTCGCGACCAGAAACTCGTTCGCTTTGGGCCATACTATTACACTGTAAAAAGAAGTGTTTAAGATTTAAACACATGAATAAACACATATCTGTGACAGTTTTT